TTGGAGATAGGGGAGTACGAAATTTCGAGGGGTGGAGAAAGTGTTGCAAGGGAAAGTTGTACGGAAGGAATCTATGCCGGGACTGTCGGTTGATTTTGCGGATTTATAGTGTTGATAACCCGGGCACAGGTTGCAAGTCGGCGCGATCGGCTGGTTCTCGTCAGGCGGCGGCGACGAGGGGCGAACGCACTAAAAATTTTATCTTTAAAGTGAGGTCCCCAAAAAAAGAAAGGGGGGAAAGAAGGGGAGCGACCACTCAATGTAAAGTAATTGAAAACTTATTGCTGAGATGGTGATATGTAGAATGGTCCAACCGCGGAGAAGGTGGCGTCGGATGTAATATGTTGTGGCTCGGATTCGACGGACTCCCTCGATCAGGAAACGCCGTAGATTTCTAATTGAACGCATTTGAATGCTGGCAATTCAAACAACCGCATTGACTCTATTGGGTGGAACTTTTTTAGGATCGCGATGACTTCTTGGAAAATTGCGTTACAAGTGTAGCTTGAGAACTTTGAAAAAAAATCTGCCTCTCAAGACTTGGAGGAGAATCTGCTTCAAGGACTGCGGAACCGCGATTTTTATATTAATCGCCCCGGATTACTTAAATTTATACATATACATTTATACATACGTTTATACATACGTACGTTTATACATATATGTTTATACGGACATTCATACATACATTTATAATATATGTACGTTTATTCATACGTTTATATTATACATACATTTATACATACATACATACGTTTATACATACGTTTATACATGTACGTTTATACGTACATTCATACGAGTATATGTATTATAAAGGAAGGGAAAAAAGAAATATGTAATAAATATGTTAACATATTTTTATTTAAAAAATTCGTTTGCAACCACAGTTATATATTTTTAATACATTTTGTAACGCGCAATTCTTAATATGTTGTCCACATCGCATAGTATTAGTAATATCCAGATTAGTTAAAGATTCGATGTCTTCGTAAACTGCATCCAAGGTGTCGATGTACATGCGTTCTCGCTCATCATCCAGAAGCAAGTTCCACAGCCACGTTCGTTTCTCGCGTCCCTTAACGTACACAATAGCATCATCTTCAAATACAGCTGCCGTGATCAGACGTTTCGCCTCGTTGTACGGAACCATCCCGTCCTCCCATCGGAATCCATGGTGATAAGCACTCAAGCAGGAAGCATAAGACCTGTCGGATCTTGTCAAAAATTTCCATGGTACGGGACTCGTAAAAATATAATACGTGAGAACGGTCCGCTATTTCAGCACCGCCACTTCCTTCACGATAAATTTTTTGTTAACGATAAATCCTTGCAAATCCACGAACGTTGGCATAGACATGTTGTTGAGAATACTGCGATCGATTGCGGCGTATCGTAGATTTTATATCGTGTCGGAGGTGCACTTAGGAGATTTTGCGCACAACGTTGGTCAATAGATTATACTGAACCACACGATCGTGTATGATGAGACAATAGGCTGTTGTATTTGTGGGCACGTTCTCCTTACATTCAAAGTCTAATCGCACGTCCACGGTGCCACTCTTGACCGATTCGTTCTGTCGAGAGCAATCGATGATCACGAACCGGCTATTACGTAAAAAAGTTGTAAAGGTAAGACTCGGCTCGAGATACTTGATCCATAGTAACCCTTGCAGAAACGCGCGTACAAGTCGTACAGAATCGCACATCTGTTTTTATCTAGATTCAAATCATCATATGGATAACATTCCGTATTCAAGTAGAGTTTAGCATTGGTTAACTTGCAGTGGTCGAATCGACTTACATCCTCAGACATGATATTTTTTCGACCTGTTTGCATAGCGAAAATGACGTAGCGCGGCTTCTCGAACTGACTAGCCGTCTTGATGGTCCACGAATGCTTGATTGTGCTCTGCAAGAGCGGAAACTCGTACAGATCCCAAGAACGAAAAGCCATACTCAGATATCGTCCGCTCTCCAAAGCGCGCAGCATCGACAGCTTATTTATCTCGCTCAATAACACGTGCGGCATTCGCCACTGTACTTTGAATAATTCGAGCGTCGGCTCTGTCGCCGAATCTCCCGTCAGACAATTATTGTCGTTGCGCACCCGTATTAAAATCAATTCGTGATGAACGTTGATCACCACACGTCTGTAATCTTCGCAAAATCCCAGCAGTACGTAGAGCGGTACACAGAAATTAAAGTATCCGGCCGCAGTAGTCTGCGCATCCCAGCCTGCATTCCGCAGAATCACGCTTCTGTCGGATGACATTGTTATATAATTTTTGATCGTTAGTTATGCCCACGTTTCTGTTACGATCAATCTCCACACTATTGAGTTCATATCGAATCTCATCGAATATAAACGCAACGCAATTATTTCCCAATGACACGTTAGCACCCTGGATCACTTTGTTCTTCGTCAGTTTTCCCTCGACGTATAGAAAGCTTTCGTACGGCAATGTGTACAGATCCTATTGCTGTATAAGTATACTTATCTCGTCGCTGTACCCGAACTTTGTGTTGGCGAATGTACGTGTGAGTCTCAATCTTGCGATCGTCGAAGATCGGCTCGTCTTTAATGTTTAGGATATCAGTCATCTCAAATGTTGCGCACCGTGAATCCCAAAGACTTTAAAAATGTAACGTTCGACGCGCTGAGCTTCTTCTTCCTAATGCAGTTGGATGAGCGAATGTTATCGAGCTGTGACGTCGTCGGCCTTGTAAAGAATATGTTATCTCTCTGCGTGCGCACCGTTCCGTTCAACACGAGCATCTCACGCTCACGTTATCACTGCAGACGTCGTACGTGCAATCTAATGGTGATCTCTTCTCCTCGAAAATCGAGTAATCGTCCGTTCTGGTCGACGACGCGTATACGTTAGATCCGTAATGCTCCGTGCGATGATCGGTAGATAAATGATCTGCGCCGGCCTTTCTGATATCTTATATCCTGGCTGCTCGCTCGGCAAAAATTCGTGTATCGTGTGTGCGCTTTTACCATTGCTGTACGCATCCGCAGTCACGTTGCACTCTACGCGGATAACGTTTACATTCATTATGTTAATCAACATGTCCGATTCGTACCATCTTCGCGGTCGCAGTATACGCTTCGACGAAAATCCCAGCAGCGATCCAATACTGTTGGGCTTGTCAAAGTTTATTCTGTACGCACATCTAATCTCGCATCTCATCGTGTTGTAGTTTGCGCGGAGCGTAATCGAGTATTCTCCACCCTTACCGTTATCATCATCGGCGTCATTATTGTTATTGTCATCGCGCACTACGTCAACGGTTTCAAGCGCGTCGCGGATGTTTCCGTAAAATCGCGCATTTCAGAAATTCATTTATGTCTCGCATTTCGTACGAACCTTCGGGAATTGTAATTTCCACATCATCTTTAGCAAAATAAAATTTATTGTTCGATTTATTCACATTCGGTATCGTGTGATAAGTCTAAAAAATCGCCAGACCGAGCTCGTAATCGCCATCACTCAAATCTATGGCGGGAAAGTAGTTTGCCGCGAGGACGGTGTTCTTCCCGCTCAGCGTAAGCGTCAGCGACATGGCGGTGTTCGACTAATACTGAGATTTCACAGCATCTCGCCGAGCTTTTTAAATTCACGCGCGTCTACCATTTGTAGAAACCGCAGGCACATCTGTCAGAAGCTCTGATCGTACATCTGATAGGACGTACGATTATACTCTATCGTCGTAGCACCGTTCCCGAAATATCGCACCAGTTCCTTGGGATGTCGAAGATTATACCGAAACTGTCAAAGTATACGACGTGGTTGTTTCTCTTCGCGTACGCTACCCAGTGAGTACCAGGCCCCGTCGCATCGTCCAGATTCATAATACCGCTTTCATTTCGACGCGCACCGCTCATCGGTAACGCGTTACCGCCTCTAAAGTATGGTATGTGCATACGTCTCGCGAGCTCGTTTAATTGCACATTGGTAGTTGCGCCAGACGGCATTTTTATCATCTCTTTGGCGTTTTTTTTTCTTTGCAGCTGCACCCTGTCCATGTTTGTACGGGCCGAGATACAGTCCGCGTCCGTATTTGGCTTTCATTGTTGCTCAGACGGCAGCAGGTTCCATTGCGCGGTCGTGACGTTACAGTTCTTCGAGCTAACGTCGCGCGGCTTTGTTATCGTTTACCGCTTTCGCCACGCTGGCCGCTCCGCCGATCAAGGACCTGAGCGTGCTTAACATTGGCAGAAACGGTAACGCACTACCTCGTTTCGCCGTTGGAAGTTTCCGCTTTTTCGTCGTCTTTTTCTTCGTCGTCGTCGTCGTCTTCTTCGGTTTCATGCCCATGCCGATCTTGGTCTTGGCTTTCATTGTTGCTCAGACGGCAGCAGCGGCGGCTCTCTCGCCCAGAGCCGAATCACTCGCGGTAATGAGTTTCTGCGCCTTCTCGGCTAGTTAGTATTGTCTGCCGCGTGTCTATCGGTGAGATCGTTGCTGTGCGAATACGCAATGTCATGTTCTCGACACGCCTCGTCCAGCGGATTTATGCCCGCGTCACTTCTGGCTAATCGCTTCGCAAGTCGAGTGCCTAGGCCGCAAAATTGGTAGCCTGGAATATGTAACTCAAAAGGAAGCGCATTTACCGCTCGATTCAACAGACTACCGCCCGACGCTGACATTCGTTACAGTCCTTTATCTTAGGTGCGGGACCGTTGATGTGCGTTCGCTGCCACGGCTGATTGTAATGCTTATCGCACTGACGATAGGTTCGAAATCTGCCTCCGAATCTGCCTTCACGTGGTGAAGGCCTTTCCGGAAGCTGGTCCCAGACGTGTTCGATGTAATCGCCGTACATGCGTAAGAGTACGACCTTCAGTATATATTGCAACTGCTCAGCGATTCAAATTTTGAATATCGGAAGGATGACTCACCGCGAAATACATTTTGCTACTGCGCGATTTGCGGGATTCGCACGTCTTTAAATAGTCGTTCGAGAGCGCACAGCCTGTAGTGTGAGCATGAAATTCGTGCTGCAACCACTGATGATACGCATCACGAACTGTGACGCGAAATCGCGAATGATGGGAGGTAGCGCGGAGAAGCGCAAGCACGGCGAAATGCTACCGAGTACTATACGCGCGATCATTTGCGACCCTCGAATTGCAGTAAAACCAACATTCTCATAAGCTTACTCGAGAGCCCGTACGGTATACGTTTCGAAAACGTTGTACGTCTATTCGAAATCGTTGCAACAGCCAAAGTATCGATATCTAATTTGTTTACGTCTATCGATGAAATCGGCTTTACGTTCTTCAACAACAGCGCCGTCGTTCCACTGAGTGAGGCGCGTCCAAATTCTATTTTTATCTTTGATGACGTGGCATGCGACAAGCAGGATGCAGTGAGAGAATACTTTTCGATGGGTCGCCACGCGAACGTTGACTGCTTCTATCTTTGTCAGACGTACGCGAGAATACCTAAACATCTGATACGCGACAGCGCGAACCTTCCGATCCTGTTCAAACAGGACGGTACCAACTTGAAACACGTTTACAACGATCATGTAAATATCGACATGTCGTACGATGAATTTTGCGCGTTGTGCCATGCCGGTTGGCAACAAAAATATGAATTCGTAGTGATAGACAAAGACAGTGCACTCACAAATAGACGAAAAGGATTTAACGAGTTCGCGATACCGTAACGCGACCAGTCGTTGTCGATACTTAGTCACAGACGAACATAGCAGATGTGCGTGAGCGTGAAAAAATCGCAAGAGTGATCGAGAAGACGAGCGAGTCGATCCGCAAGAAACATCGCGCTCTGAAGACTGGTAGAATCGAGAAGGGCATCGCGTTGGACAGACATTTTAAGCCTCTTATCGAGCCGCTGCGACTTTTCGCCGACAGCCCCGGCATGCGCGCGACAAAGAGAGAGTCTCGCGACGAAGATACAGCGTCTGCCCATAAACGCGAGAGGAAGGAAGAAGAGGAACAGGAGGAGATAGAAGAAGCGAGCGAAACGTTCGAGCGTTCCACGACTCTGCATAAATCCAATAATCGATCGCACGATGATGTATCAATAACGTCCACCCCGCGTGCCAAAATCATACCGACGATAGAGTCGTTGGGGAACGTTTTCGAAACGACGGAAAACTCGCTAGCGACGAAGGTTCAAAATCAACTGCAAACGTCAGAAAGTCGAGAGGCGTTAAGCTGGTTTGGGCCCGCTGGATCAAAAGTACGTCGAGGCTATCTTGAGGGGAGCGTGAGATAAAAAGAGCGGTATAGATCGCGTGTACGGCGTTTACACAAGGATCGGCTGATGTTTGGCAATAAACGTTTCGACGTGGATGACGCGGACAACATAATTATCGAAGGCGTACGATACGCCGGTACACCAGGTTTACGAGTTGATTTTCAAGAGAATTCCCGACGATGCCCTCTACACGGAAGACGATATGCACAAGTACAAGAGCATGCTGTTGGTAACGAGCGCGCACAAATACAAGTACCATTCACAGGGTCGATTATTGAGCAACAGAGGATACAAACACGTAACTGCGCCGTTGATATCGGTCACACCCAAGAAACAGAAGAAATCTGGAAAGGGATTACCTCACGCAATGACATTGAACAACAACGCGATCGATTACGTGCACTGAGATGATCCCAACGAGCTGGTGGATTGTCTACAATTGCTCGACGCTTCGCACCGAGCAGGCAACAACGCTCACGACAACGAGATGCTGTCGATCATCGAGGAACTTCGCGAAGCCGGTCTTATTATAAATTAAATTGCGTATTCATAAAACGAGTCAGTCGAGTGACATCAGCGAGAAAAAATACATTAATTTCTTGTACTCTGTGTATTACACGTTGAATCATGAAAAAAGAAATTCGATGAAAAGAGAGAAAAAATTAGAGAAACGTCGGTTCGTCGAGGAATTGCACGCTCCGGTGAGAAGAAATTTTCCGCGAAGGCGTGTCATAGTCCGGGGATAGGCTGATATCGTTGAGATGCGCCCTCGAGCTTCAACAGAGGCTACCACTACATACTCACCGTCATCGATGTGTTGAGCAAGTACGCGTGGGCCGTTCCGCTCAAGAGCAAGGGTGGAAGCGAGACGGCTAACGCTATCGCTGAGATCATTCGAGAGAGCAAAAGATGTTCGAAAAATTTACAAACAGATATGGGGAAAGAATTTTACAATGCAGATGTACAGAATATCTTGAAAAAACACAACGTTAATCACTATTCCACGTATTCGATGTTGAAAGCGTCAACGGTCGAGCGG